CTTACCCTTGCTTCGCTCGGGTGCGTTCCGTAGTACGTTTTAAGGATAAGTAGTTAGTACCTATAAAATAGTCTATATTATATATGTATGTAAAAAAACTTGAATTCATCCCCTATTTTACATTGATTGGACAAAAACGCCGGTCTGTTTTTCTCCAAGGTCCCACCCATCTCTACTTATACCAAAATTCATCGAAGTTGGTTCAGCAGTTTAGGCGTGATAACATAACAAACATATAAACAGACAGATAGAGTTACTTTCGCATATATATTATTGAGTATGGATGCTATGAATTTGACTCCGTCACCCCAAAACGAATTTCGACTGAACCTTACTGCAGATAAGGAATTATAAATTAATAATTACACTATACGACTTTACTTTCCAAAGTTCCTTAATTTTATTTATATCCCCATATCCATAACCTGTTCTTTAAATGTAGAAATTGTAGTAGGTACACTATCATAACATATAGTACGTTTATAAACGTATATTTATATTTTAGGACATCAGAAGTAAAACATGGAACCTTTACAGCGTCACTTACGTGTCTCTGTCGCTCTGTTTATCCGTAACACTCTTTTTCAAAATAAATGAATTCTAATTTTTAGAGTTAATTTTGTAAGTCAAAAATTAATTCATTTATTCATAAGTTTTTAAATATATGTAGATAAAAACCAAAATGCGTCATTTTCTATCTAGACTCTAGATAGAGGTATTTTTAAAATTACTACCTACTATACTTTTATCATTCCACATAAGTACCATACGGAATACATTCCATACGGAATCCTCCTTTGTGCTAGTCCGACTCGCATTTTGTAGAAAGTAATACACACTTATAAATATAATAAAATAGTAAGAAAACGAAATCTGTCCATCGAATACTTTAAAAAAATATATTATAGTTACTTAATGTGTAGAGAGTATAGACCCCAAAACTAAACTATTGATTTTATTCTGTTTATCTGTATATCTGTTTGCTTTTAACTCAAAAAATACTGAACAAATTTAAATTAAATTTTGTGTAGCGATGACTTATTAGGTAGGTAGTCGTGACTAGTTCTCATTCCCAGGTTGTAATAAAATATCTTTGGAGAAGTCTGGTAATACTTTATAACCGACAAAAATATCTGGGGCTCTTTTTTTTGAATTATTTAAAAACTAAATTAAAAGATTTAAAAAAAAACGAGTTGCCAAAAATATATTTTTTTGGAAATTTTTTAGCTTTTTAGCTTTTGGAATAATAGGTATTGTTGATTTTTGTAATTTTTAATAAACATTTGATCATACCATAACAAAGAATAAGTATTTATTAAATTCCAAAAAAAAAGCTATGATGCGGGATCCCGCTGGATTGAAAACAATGCTGGATTGCAATTCCTAGTCCCTAGGCACATTTTATTTTTTTTGAGCGGAATTTTAATTCTTTTTCTAAAATAAAAGTAGACTAAGTATCTTCTTATAACATCAGCTATCTAGAAGTGAAAGTCCCATCAAAATCAGTCTAGCCGTTTCGGAGATTAACGGGAAGGAACGGACAGATAGACAGACAGTTTTTTTAAATTGTGTTTTTTTTTATATGTGCCGAATATAATTTTATATGCATTTGGTAAAATGCTTCATTTTGACATTTGTAATGTCAAAATAACAGCACTTTTACCGACACTTCAATTTTATTTATATGTATAGATTACTGTAAGTTTTATGTGTCCTATGCAAACTCTTTTTTGTCATTTAAAAACAAAAATATGAAAAATAAACAAAAAAATCTTTATCGTTGGTTTACATTATTATTATATTTTTTTAGCTAAAATTAGGTATTTTGTGTACAGACACATGAATGTGAATAATATGTAGAATTTGGTATTGTAATGTATATAATATGTATTCGGAATGAGGCTTCACTTTACTATACTTAAGAGATGAAACTTATTTTTTCGCTTTAATATTAAGTGACGAGAAAAAAATACAAACATATGTACAAAACAAATAAAAATTAAGTAATTAAATAACTATTTAGTATCTTAAATTTAATTTTCATTGTAATAAGCCAAGTGGTATATCAAACACATACCTATGTAAATATTATGTTAATTTATTACTTAAATAGGTATTTCAATTGTCTACATAGTTGATAAATTGCTAGACTGATCTAGCCGACACTGTGACCAAAGGACGTGGTGTCGAGTTGCTCGGAGCACGAGGCGCCGCGTCGTGGTGGTTAATCATCATGTAGTCACAAAAGACTGTTACGCCATCTAATCTTCATTGCAATCCTACAATGACAAAGATGTAGTATCACTCTTTTTTTACTTATATAATTTTTAAATTCAAATAAGATGGACGAATAAAAGATAAATGTAGTTTATAAAGTTAAGAGGTATGCAATCGTGCATGAGTATCGTGCATTGTATTGGGATCCAAACTACTGTGCCAAATTTCAGCTCAATAGGACACTGGGAAGTGGGTCAAATTTAACTTGTAATATTCCATAACACAACCCCGGACAGGTGAAACTAAATAAAAGCTTAAATAAAAAAAGTGCGTGTGTATATAATTCGCAACACATGGTAGAAGTAAAACTTCAGAATACAATTCTGAAATCTGAACCACCTACAACCTACGAGAAAAATGTATGAATATAGAGTACCTATCAGGAGTAGGATAACTACCCATAAGGTTTATTTATTTAAATATTTTTACCAAGTTTAAAATTTGTTTTACATTTTATTTGACATTATATATAATTATTATTCAGTAATTAATTTTATTATTTTTCACTATCTTTGTAATGTATTCTATCTCAAATAACAACGATTACTATGGCAACATGGCAATGTAATCCTATATTTATGTGTTTGTCTCTTTTTAGTGTTGCATTTCCGTTTCATCGAGTTTCAAATCATAACGATTCTAAAGAAGTTTCACTTCAAAACATCACTTTAATCAATAATATTAAAAAGTTTTATTATCTTAATGTCAAATAACATGTATTGACTAAATTAATTCAATTTTTTCTACAAAACAAAGTAAACAAATATATTAAGATAATAAAGAAACAAATGAATTATAATAGGTATGACGAAAAATAACTAGAACTAGACTAGTAGATACAGTCCAAAAATAAACTAAAAATACACACACACATATATATATATATATATATATATATATATATATATAGATTTTGTTCTTAGGTACGTCTTATAGATAGATATAAATAGTTATTACGAGTGTATCTTAGGAGATAGACATATGATATTGCGGGCTTTCCTCTAGGCCTTTTAATATCTACGCGCGTTATCCATATAAATTTTTAAGGATCAATCAATAGAACGAGATATTCTGTTTTCCCGTAGGAATGAAAGATTTTCCTGTAGTAAAAGGTATCCTAAATGTTAACTCGAGTAATTATTTTACACTACACAAAATTTAGTTAAAATCGGTACAGTACTTTTTGCGTGAAATACGCACACACAAACACAAACAGACAAACAGATAAAAATTTTAATAACTATTGTTTTGGGGTCTTTATTCCGTACACAATACGTTATATAGTCATTGTTTTTGAAATATATATCTCATATACAAAGTTTCTATACAATTTTATTATATGTATAGATTACTAGCAGAATCCGCGGCTTCGCTCGCGCTAAAAATACAAAAACCTATCTAAAAAGGTAGTTTCATATAAGCTTTCGTCCCCTATTTTATCTCCTTATAAAATGAATTTCGAAAAATTCTAAAACACGTATTTATTTAATTTTATTAAAGAGTAATAATACCAAGTTTTAAGTAATTCTGATTATAAATATTTGGATTTGGATTGTATTATAATGTGTTTTCCTGTGGGAATCAGATAATCTCCCGCGGTAAAAAGTAGCCTATGTCACTCTCCAGCCTTCCAACTACTCCACACAAAAAATCACGCCAATCCGTCTTTCTGTTTCGACGTGAAAGAAGGACAAACAAACAAACTTTCACATTTAAAATATTATAGTATGGATTTATTTTTATTTTCTACCTACTCCTTGAAATGAAGTAACGTTGTTATCTCTGGTAGAAACACAAAATGCTTTCCAATGCCAATATTTCCGCCCATTTGTGATGGATTGACAGTAGAAGAGTAGTATCATTTTTTTTATCTAATATTTGATAACTTACAACGCAATAGTTCAAAAAATATTCTTTTTAACGACGTATCTGTTATTTTTCCTTTGAATAGAACTTCATTGATTTACGTCATTCTTAATATCGTCACTTTGTTTACCGAACCAAATGAGATAATAAGTTCAATACCGAAAAAATTTAAATCAATTCAGGGATTCTTGATTGAGGACGGTACAAAGACATAAAATAAACATTCTTCATTTACATACAAAGTACTTTTTGTATACATAATACATATATTCCGTTCGGTAGATAGATCATCTAGCATTAATCAGGTGTTAAAAAATGAAATAAACATAAAGAGGAACAGAGCCGTATCATATTTACATTGCCTTTGATATCGCAGCTCATACGCAGCACTGTAGGTCAGTGGTTTGTTTATCGCACTAGCTGAAAGAATATCATCATGCTAGGTTTTGTATTGTTATTATCCTTTTAATTAATACTAATAATGTTATAGATGAATGAACGGGTCGATATGTGTCTACTTCCATATTTAAATTTTATCTTTACTTACGAGTAGTTTACTTAAACAAATCCTAAAACTGATGTCTTAAACTTGAAAAATGCTATCAGTAGTAGGTCGTAAATATTTGTTTAGTCACGTATTATTGTACAATTACTATAGTAAATGACAAATATTCCGCGAGAGTTGCATGAAAGCGCGTGCGCAGCGTGGAAAGGAAACTGGCAACAGACAAAGTGAGCCAGTCTTTTGCCGTAAGCCATCCGGAGAACAGTTGGCACGGCTTCGGCATCGACTCTCCCAATGAGGGAAAGACGTGTGTAATATCGAAAGAGTGTTTGGTGCAGATAACAAATTTAAAATGGAGTTGCAAAATCCCAAAGAGGAAAATGGTGAGAATAATATATTAGTGAAAGTACTTGCTGTGAGTGTCCTAGATTGTGCAGGTTTATTGACCTTGATGATACAGTAACAGGTGAAGGAGAAAAAATTTACATATCATGCATCTTCATCGTATGACCTTAACAAGGCCAGGAAGTGTTATTATCTACTTCAAAATTAAACATATGGTTGATTGTAATTTAAAGAACCTTAGACAAAAAAAAAAGTGAAATTTCGTGAAAGAAAGTAGATTGACCTTTAGAACACGTAATTAATAAGTAATTATTATATGTTCCAATGATGACTACACTATAAAACTAGAATATAACCACGCCTAAACCTAATATGGGCTTTTAATTCATAAAAACCATTGTGTAACATCATATAATGATACTATATTGGTAATGTTGCAATGAAATAAGGTAGGGTCATTTTAATCCATTCTCAAAACACAATGTAAATTAGCAAGGTCTTTTATTGTCTATCAGTAACTTTTGTTATACTATAAAGGTCTTTTAACTAAAAACGAATAAGTATAATTTGTGGCATTGCCTCGTTATTTAAATGTCTTATTAGGTAATATTTAAGTAGAAATATTATATCCTACTAATATTATAAATGCGAAAGTTTGTGAGATGTATGATGTAGAAGTGTATGGATGTTTATTACTCTTTCATGCAAAAACTACTGAATGGATTTTAATGAAACTTTACAATGATATAGCTCATACACCAGAATAATACATAGTACTATTTTATTCCCAGAAAAAAGTATGATTCCCGTGGGATAGATTTGTTTTTGTTTTTCTAGAGGCGAACCCGAGGCGAATAAAATTAATAAAAATAAAATCATATTTAATAACTTATAATATATTTTAGAAAAAAATTGACAACGTCAAAACAAAATTTTTGTGTGATCATAATTTATTTTAAAATATGTCAGAAACTACATTAAAACTTGGAATAATAATATAAAAACTTTTTAAAAGAAAACAGTACATATGGAATATTATACATATTACAAGACGTAAAAAAACTCTCCAATATTAAGCCACGCCTAACCTCAAGCAACTGTTGCAACAAAGTGGTGAAAAAATTACTGGCATTAGATAATTTTAATACCTAAATCTAAATTAGATGTGCTGGTCATTGCACCTTGGGTCCTTTCCGCGATAAACAATAGCATTCCTAAGGAGGGTTGATGTCAGACAGGCGGCCGGTCGTAAAACTTTTGCCAAATCCTATCAGCAGTACGGAAGATGTACTGCGCCGACCTCAAGAGATTGGGAAATGGGCAGGGAGATGATGATGATGATATAATAACTTATAAGTATTTATATACTAATACTTAATAATACTTATTGAATGTTTTATGGAGAAAGTGAACCAATTTTATCAAAACTTTCTTTATACAATATTTAAAAAAATAACTTATAATTTTAACTTTCTGTAATTACTTAGCTAAATAAATAGAAATCAAAATGTTATTAATACTTATAATTGCAACTGCAGTTATTTAAATTTGAAGTTATAAAGTTATATAAAAATAATAATAAATAGTTTATCAAAGTGACAAACCGCTAGTTACACAACTGCACTTCATAATATCTCATGTAGGTTCATATCATATCTTTGGTCAAGCGACGAATGTTTTCGGGGCTCTGATAAAAAAAAGTCCCTGTTTAGGAAAGTTGTTCGTGTATACTTCCATGCCCTTTTTTTAATTTTGGGAAATGCGTATTTCACCTGTATCTATACTAATATTATAAAGAGGTAAAGTTTGTGATATTGTGAGTTTGTGGGTTTGTGAGTTTGTGACGTTGTGGGGGGTAATCTCTGGATCTACTGAACCGATTTAGATAAAATTTGGTAAGAAGATAGTTTGAGACCCTGGGAAGGACATAGGATATTATATATATTTTTATCTCAGTAATCCCTTAAGGGGGTGAAAATGGGGATGAGAGTTTGTATGGGGAAGCAAGCTAGGGACGAACCCGAGCGAAGCGAGGGTGAGTCACTACTACAGGATATAGGTGATTATGTAGGATTAAACTAAAACCCAACAAAACCTCCCCCGTTTTAATGGGGTGTCGCAGGATTACTTAAGCAATCAACCACGACACCCCGACGGCAGGTCTGCCGAAGCAGACCTCAACAGCTATGGGGTTAGTCCAACGGTCCACTCTGCTATCAGAGAAGTACCAGGAGCAACCTGCATGGCACACCGTCCACCGAGGTGGGCCGCCTCCCAGTGCGTTTATTAGCTTCGCGCCCGGCTGGATTGCCGGACGCTAATGAGCCCTGCGTCCACGACAAGGTGAACGCACGTGGGGGGGACACTTCCATGCACTGGAGTATGTCAAGTTAACAGAGTAGCCTCTAGACTAGTCTCAAATTTTAATGAGGTTGACCGCTGAGAAAACTTTTTAAAATTTAAATCAACGCACCTTAATATTGATATTTATATCACATATGCTCTGGTTAACAGGAATTGTCAAGTTTAAAATAACTGTTAAGTAAAGTTAATCTAACACTTGCACCGGACTTGTCGGCATTAAAAGATGAATGGCTAATGACAAGCGTAGATAGCATAAGTACATAATTTAAATACTTGAAAAGTAAAGAAGTAATTTTATTTGCTAATAATTTATGAAAAAAATTACAGGAACCCACCATAATAGTAAATACTTACTGCTATTATGAATATTAAGGTATATTTATTTAAGTATGTATGTATATGAAATATTAATGTTAAACTTTATTTTTGCGCTGGAGCAAATAGATCGATGTGATATTAAAAAGATAATTATTTATGGGGCGGAGAGTAACATACAACATACATTTCACCCTGAAACATTAAGTTTCTCCCTTGGCCTTATTATATTATGTTGTTGTTTCATTTACGGTATAAAGTCATTAAAATAAAAAAAAATACGAAAACTTTTAAAAAAGTTATAAAAGTTATTTATTGTATTCTTTATCAAGTTAAACTTGATCCACTCAGAAGTATCTGTGAATCTTAATTTTCAAAAAATCTAAGAGGATTTGATCATGATAGTCGAAAGATAAGAAAAGTAATGTAATGATAATTGCAACAAACAGTTTTCTTGGGTATTTTAATGTTTGGCGACCTTAAGTCATTGTAGATTATAGAAGCAAAACAAAAACATAAAGTTCACAGATTCGCTTATCTACGAGTATATTATGTAAACACTAGCGACTTACCTTCGCTTCGCTCGGGTTCGTCCCTAGGTTGATTCCCCATACAAACTTTCATCCCCATTTTCACCGCCTTAAGGGATGATTTCTGAGATAAAAAGAATCCTATGTCCTTACCAGGGTCTCAAACTATCTTCTTACCAAATTTTATCTAAATCGGTTCAGTAGATCCAGAGATTACCTACTACGACGTCACAAACCCACAAATTCACAAACTCACAAACTTTATCTTTTTATAATATTAATACAGATAAACAGTGAAAACAAAGTACACAGAAACTAAAACTCTCTCTTTAACACAAGTTCCGTTCAGGTTACGTTTAGGAGCAGGACCGACTTCAAACAAAAGCACTAAAAATTAAAAAATAACTGATTGGTAGTTTTCATTTACTATACATACCTAATCAAATATTTTCGAAGTCGAACCCAGGTCGAGTCCGCATGTATCACTAGATCAACGAGACAATTGAGTAATTTTATACAGTAATGTTAGAAAGGACGTAAATATAATATTAATAGCACGCACTATTGCTACTTAAGTACCTATAATATAATTGATATTAGTAAAAGCATGTAACTTTAATGTGTGTATAAATTTTCCATCGCAGAAATATCTTAAACATCTGGTTTATATTTATTATTAACGTAATTGAAGGAAAATTTATTCTTAAATAGTAGATATATACATTATTTCATTTTACAGATTAAATAACATTTTATAGTGCTTTATCAGGCGTGTTTACTTAAAATAAGTACTTACTTTTAGACGAAGTGAATTCACTAGTTACAAATATCTTACAGTTGTAATAATTCAGAAGTAGTATCTATACAGATAAATAAAATTGAAGTGTCTGTTTGTAATGTCAAAATAACAGATTTTTACTAAATGCATATGGATGTATACACGGAACATATATCAAAACAACTTTTTTACAATTTTTGTCTGTATGTCTGTCTGTTTGTTCCGGCTAATCTCTGAAATGGCTGGACCGATGTTGAAGGGACTTTCACTGGCAGATAGCTGATGTAATAAGGATTAACTTAGGCTACTTTTATTTTAGAAAAAAAAATTAAAACCAATGAAAGTCCTACAATGCTAAAAACTCTAGGGACGAACAGGAGCGAAGCGAGGGTGAGTAGCTTGTAATTAATAAATTCTCAAAAAACATGTTATTAATTAATAACACTTTTTTTTCAGGAATCAAACCTAACAACGTGCCACAGCAAGATCTCATTCAAAGGGTTATAGGATCTTTCGGGAAATATCAGCTATATCTATGCCTATTGATATTTCTAACCAAGTTTCCTGTTGCCTTTCATCAAATGGCTATTATATTCTTATCACCAAAAGTAGAATACACTTGTATAGGCTCTAGTAATAATGCAACATGTCCGTGTTCAAGCCCACAATACGACACGTCGATATTCACAAATAGTATAATTATGGAATGGGATTTGATATGTGACAGAAAGTGGTTGACTAGCTTTACTCAAACTTTATTCCAGTTGGGCACTTTATTAGGTAGCGTTTTTTTTGGAATGGCCTCTGATAGGTAAGAAAATATGTATGATACTCGTATATTTTTATCAATATTTTTATATTGTTTTAATGAAAATCATTTTAATATTTATTATAAAAAACGGAGCTATCAATGTTGAGACTATGCTAGAGTTCAGTCCTTCAGACATGCATTTCATCCCTCAATGCAAATTCCACGAATATCTTCTAAGGGATGAAATGATTTAAAATCTGAAGTTAAAATGAAACTTTGATATTTCATGAAATTAGTTTTTTACATGTTTCTTAATTTAAAAGCTAACAAAATATTCCAGCTTTAAAAACTGTTCCAACGATACAGTTAACGATCAACCATACGGTAACCGATGACCAACTGCAATTTTTGTATTCTCTACTACAGTTGGTATGAATTTTGGTGTCCATGTGTTTGTAATTCTTCTTTCTAAACGACTTGACCGAATTGACGCGAATGAAGATATTTTTTTGTGAAAATAATTATTATGAATTTATCTAAATTATTCAATAACCATTCCGTAATAAAATAATCCCGTTTTGGTTTTACATTTGCCTAAATATTTATTTTATCTTTCAGATTCGGAAGAAAAAAGCCTTTATTAGTAGCCGTTGTAATTCAAGTTTTGATGGGAATTATTGCAGCTTATGTGCCAGAATTTTGGACATTTACTTTTGTCAGATTTTTAATTGGCATGTCTGTTGGTGGAACTATGGTCACTGGATTCGTTATGGTCATGGAGTTCGTCGGAACTAAATATCGGGATCTTATATCAGCGCTCTATCAAGTTCCGTTCAATTTGGGTCACATGCTATTACCAGTTTTTGGATATTACTTCCGAGATTTCACATCATTTCAATTGGCGATTTCCATACCATCAATTATACTTCTGGCATACTTCTTCTTACTACCTGAAACGGCTCGTTGGTTAATTGCAGTTAAGAGAACCGATGAAGCTATTGTTATATTGGAACGGGTAGCTAAAGTGTAAGTTTTTTAACTTAATTTTTTTTATAAGAAGTAAATTATATACTAAGTTATTTTAATAATATTATTAGCTGACTTTATTATTTATTATAGGAACAAAAGACCAACCGAAAATATACGTAGTGATATTGAATTATATCAAAAGTCATTGGAAAACAGTCAACTAAAGAAAGGCAACATATTGGATCTTTTCCGAACTCCAAATCTACGAAAAAATATAGCTGCAATGTCATTTAATTGGTTAACCTGTAGTTATTGCTTTTATGGAGTATCACAATACGTGGGGCAACTGAGCGGAAATGTTTTTACAAACGTTGCATTAAGTGCTAGTGTGACGTTACTAGGCACTTTTGCCTCTATACCTCTGATGAAAGTAATCGGTAGGCGAACTATTCTCATATTGTTCAACTTTATATGTGCTTTGTGTTTGCTTATACTAGCAATAATACCAGAAGGCATTGGATCAGTTATATGTGCTAGTATAGGAGTAGTTGCCAGTTTTATAGTTTTCGTCATAGTTTACTTATACTGCACGGAATTATTTCCTACGGTAGTACGTAATGCTGCTCTTGGTTTTTCTTCAATGATGGCTCGAGTTGGTTCTATGATAGCGCCGTTTGTGATAGAAATGAGAGACGTCGCTATATGGATACCGCCAGTTCTCTTTGCAATATTCCCGCTTGTAGCTGCGTGTATAACATTCGTTCTCCCAGAGACGAAAGGTTGCGAGTTAATGACTACAATAGAAGAGGGAGAACAATTTGGTAAAAAGAAAACAGCGAATAAAGCATAATGTGAGAAATGTAATATAGACGTTATATATACATAGATATCATTTGTATATAGTAAATATAAGTATAGAAACAATAAATGTTAAGTCCTATTTTTTTAATCTTTTCCCCTTTAATATAAAAGTCCTTCATCTGTTTTTATAATTTACCGTTAATTTAAATAATTGAATACTTCTCATTACATTATTATATTTTTAAACTAGCATTGCCCGCGGCTCCGCCCGCGTTCAGATGTCCAAAAACCAAATTCTTAGGTTTTACATATTAGTATACTCTTACATTGCAGTTTTTGTATTTTTTCTCAGAAATGAGATATTTTCCCGCGGTAAATATGTTGATCTGGATAACCAGGTATCATCATACCAATTTCATCAAAATCTCTCCAGTAGTTTTTCTGTGATGCGGTAACAGACTAACAGACAGACAGACAAAAATTCTAAAAACTATAGATTCGGCCTCTGTATCGATAATAATGTCTATTTCAATAAGATTTTCCAAAAAATATTTAATGTACAGATTCGGCTTAGTTACAATTTTATTATATGCATAGATTTATTATTGGAATATATGTAAACACGTTCAGTCAATTCAGCTCTGCATTCTTAATCAACGCAAAATATAATTATGAAATAATTTAAATCAAAATAGAAAGTATCTTGACTTAGCTATACATTAAAAAAAACCACGTGATCACACTCATATTATTTTTATTTGAAATGATTTATTTGAAAATATTTTATAAATAAATGTCAACTTATCATCACATTTTTATTTTATTTCTATAGTTACAGGAACACAAAACAAATAATAGAATTACGCTAAAATTATTATAAACTAACTAAACTAAATTATTATAAAATTAAAGCTAAATATATCATTTTAAAGTTGTCCAATTAAATCTGTATACAACATTAAAATAAATATAATGTATTTACGTATATGTAAATGAATATATTTACATCCATGATATTATAATTTTAACGCTTTAAAATAAAAACAAACAATATGATAACAAGAAAGGTCATTCAAGATCTAAGATTTATAAGATTTACTAGAATTACAATTAAATAATATGTTATGTTAAAACACTGTACAATTTCTACAGAATATATTATGTAAAATTGTTTTTCAAATATTTTTTAATAAATAGGTCAGAAATCAAGTATATTCTCGGTAGGGTGGCGGTTACATCGACAAAAAAAGAGCATGTAAAGCTAGAAAGGCAAAGTGAGCAGAATCGCTTAAAACTATGTGCATAAATTAGTGTTCATTTAGTGCTAATTTAGTGATAAAAGCTAAAATTTGATGCTCATATATTTTGGCAGAAAATTAAAAAACTGCTAGCAGTGTTACCGCCTAATACGCTAACCGCATAACACAGCGTCAAATCAATCTAGCATTAATTTAGTGCTCAATTAGTGCTGGCCATCCATGAAGACAAATATAAAAATTTAGCTGTACTTAGAGTCGAATGAATATTTTGTGAATAATTCTTCTTCTATTTATAAATCTTCGTCTTGTACGAGTTAAGGTTTTTAATGGAAATGATATAAAAGGGTATCTTGTTTGTTTTTATCTGCATCGAGGTCCGAGGTAGAGTTCATTGCCCCTACCAAGTACTATTAGTATCATAATATGCCTGTATATTAGATTATAAACAACACAAATTTAATCATTATTAAATCCATATCCAATATCGGATACTTAATATTATAAATGTAAAAGTGTGTTTGTTTGTTTGTTTGTTTGTCCTTCTTTCACGCCGAAAAAGAGTGACGGATTGGCGTAATTTTTTGTGTGGGGATAGTTGGAGGGCTGCATAGTGACCTAGCCTATTTTATTTCATTCCCACGTACAAAACACATTATAATAGAACTCAAAAAATTATTTATTATCAGAAATACTTGAAACTTGGTATTAAAATGCTCTTCAATACAATTAAATAAATACATGTTTTAGCATTTTTCGAAATTCATTCCATAAGGGGGTAAAATAGGGAATGTGTAGGTTTTTTTGTAGTTTTAGCGCTAGCGAAGCCGCCGGTTCTGCTAGTAATTTTATAATAATTGAGTAGGTATATGAATCATGAAAATAAGTCGATGTATATTATCTTGTTACTAATAATATAAGTATTGTTTTAAGAACAAAGGCGAATTAAGGAACTAGGATATTATTCTACTCAGAATGTCTATCGAATAACGTAATATAATAAAATATTAAAAAAAAGACATATCACATGAGACCAACGACCTTGCGATGAAGAAGATTTCATTACTTATATAAAATTGTCATAGTTAATCTGATTACTCTTACCATCATAGCCCACATAAAAATCATTAGGTATTATAAAGACAAGATTTTATTTAGACGGGACATATCGATCATTTTTTTTTGTTGAAAACTTCTTTGACAGCGTTGGCACTTATTAGTTGGCACCGTTCTGTAAGTGTTGATAATTGACTGGTGGCTAATTGAGTGTACGTAATGTTACAACTTACAGGTAAAATGTTTACGACTTTAGAAATGTATAGGTAACTCTACAATTATTGCCTTAAACAAAAAAAATGTTCTATTTGTACAGGTACTTTTCAAAGACTTATCTAAAAAACGGAAACTTCTGTATGCTTAATTATTTTCTTCACCAATTAGTTGCATGTAGGTAAAAAGTATGGAGTGACCCGTACTTTATTTTACCCGACCCGGCCAAGCTTCAAGGTGTTTTATGTGTTGACCTGTATGTATGTATGCTCGATCCTATGTTCCATCGTAATTACTAAACGGCTTAACTGATTTTAGTTCATATCGTATCGTCTTGATAATGCGAGTGTCATAGCTTAGGCTATATGAATATTAATAAAAAACAGAATGGCGGTTCTCAGGTGTTAATTTGTGTGTCTAAGTTTTTTTCTTCTAAGCCTACCGAGTGGGGCATCAACATGAAAGTTTTAAAGTGACGATCACAAAAATATATACAACTTATATATATATATTTTTGGATAGGAAATTGTTAAATTAAACGTCTAACTTTTAAAAAGCCGTAGATAAAAAATTAAGTTACTATAAAAATAAAAATAAACCGGCTGTGTAAAAAACGAACTATACAGATGAGAATAAGTTGACGAAGGAACATAGAGTATTATGCGGTTGGTGGCATATACTTATATGTACGTGTACATATCTATACAGAGCAAAACTTGCAGCAAATATAACATAATATAATAGTACATACGTCCATATTTAGATAAGCACAAAATTTATGAATGTATACTTAGGTTCATGAATAATGTAATACAATTGGCGGTCTTTTAGCAACGGATATATCTTGTTAATTTTAAAACTAATGATATAATTATACAAATAACCATGACTCGAATGACGCATGTTGTTTCATATTTTTGCAATTTTGCCTAATTTACTTAACTATGTCATGATACCTTCAGTTTTTCCTGTCGAATGTAAAATAAAAGTTAGAACCAAGTTTATGAGAAAGAGAAGAAAAAATATTTATTAATAGTAATATTCTAAATATTGATTATATATATTTTTTTAGATTATTAGTTAATTAATTTTAATGTAGACCTATGTGTTTTAAGACAGTCGTACGCTCGCTTGAACCAAGTGAAGCGGATTCAAAACTCGTACATTTCATATTTTTTACCACTTTCCTTACGAACGAAAACATTAGTAGGAAATCCCGATCCATGTGGTGGATCCCTCACTCTTTTTCTAGACGAAATATATTTTTTAAACCATAAAACATATTAACATACATGACCCAAGGGAGTTGTCACCATAAATTTGTTTCAGACTATTTTGAATTCGCCTGGAAAAAGAGTAAGGTGTTCGCCGCATAGATCTGGATCTTAGATTACATCATGAGGCATGTTTAAGGGAACCTAAAAAGTTTTTAAAAGGCGTGTGAACTGTGAACTCCGCTAGTCCGCACTTGGTCAATGTGGTGGACTAGGTTCGATCATCCTCTAATGGAAGAGAGGCCTGTGAGAGTAGTGGAATGTTAAAAAGTACTGTATACTATATGATACACGTATCTATTTTAAATAATAATAAATTACTTAAAATCGTTGTTAATAATTTTTAAATTTTAGAGGAATCATTTTTTAAATCCTTGACAGATAGCGTAATTTAGATGGCAGGATTCATGTTTACGAAGAAATGTACAAGTACACCTAATTTTTCCTCCTTTAATTGCAATGTAAATTATAATATAAATTATTATTTATCTATTGACACTACGTAGGCCATGTAGATTTTTGCATTTATTTATTCACATATTTATTTTGATAGTATTTATTCCTATATTGTGTTTATTTACTCTCTACAATAATGATACATATAAGTGATCTTATAGGAAATTTTGGAATGTATCAACTATGGCTGTCTTTTATATTACTAGTCAGTAAATTTGGAGTAGCATTTCATCAATTCGCCATATTATTTTTGGCTCCTCCTGTATTTTATACATGTGCTAATAACGAAACCTGTTGCGATCATCCAGTTTTTGACACTAGAGAATTTTCCAGAACTATTGTGACCGAATGGAATTTGACTTGCAACCGCTCTTGGCTGAAAGATTTGAATCAAACTATTTTTCAATTTGGTGTTTTAGTAGGAAGTTTAGTATTTGGTATTGCATCTGACAGGTGATTATTAATTAGACATAATTTTAAAAAAATATTAAAATAAACACAGTTCAACATAATACATAAACATGGGTTATTGCATTAATGAAAAATGATTGTCTTACTTATATTAGATTTCGACGGTTCGATAGATTAATACAATCTTTTATATTGATCTAATCTTACGTTACTACGTAAGATTAGAATATATATAAATGTCCGTTTTGTACAAATTTGCCTTTTTTCAGATATGGTAGAAGAATAGCATTGCTAGTTTCCGTCATTATAGAAATAATTACTGGAATTATGGCCTCCTTTATGCCGGAATTTTGGAGCTTTACAATAGTTCGATTGTTTTTGGGAATATCTGTGGGCGGTGTTACAGTTGTAACCTTTGTTTTACTTATAGAATATGTTGGAACTATTTACAGAGATACAACATCCATTATATTTCACATGCCCTTTACTCTTGGACACCTTCTTTTAGCATTTTTCGGCTATTTCATAAGAGACTATGTACATTTTCAATTGTGTATATCTGCAACAAGCTTGATTTTATTGTTTTATATATGTTTATTGCCAGAATCACCGAGGTGGTACCTCGTTACAAATAAAACTTTTAAAGCTATTGAATTAATGGAGTATGTCGCAGAAATGTAAGCTTTTCTTATTGCTAACGTAGTAAATTATGAATAACCAGCGACTTACCTGGATTACCCCATGTGTTACTTCAGATCATAGTCTATCTGTATTTTTGATCGAAATCCTTCCAGCTATTTAGCGTGAAGATGTAACAAACATATTCATACATATTTTCCAATCCTTAATCCGATAATTATAATTAAAGATTTTTTTTTTTCATAAAACTATTATAAAGAAATCTTAACAAACGTACGACCTACATACACGTATGTATAACATTATGTGAAATATAGCTGCAGGATTGTCATTAAAATTTCTTTCTATTGAATTCTATTGCAGAAATAAGCTTCCTAAAGACTCCATTCGGCAACAAGTCGAAATGTTTCAACTAGACTTTATGAGGATTGGTCGAAAGAAAGGAACAGCAATTGATTTATTCCGCAAACCAAATTTACGTAATAATATAATAATTATGTCATTCACGTGGTTTGTCTCTGGATACTGTTATTATGGAGTTTCCCAGTACATAAGCCATTTAACCGGAAATTTATTTGTTAACGTTGCGGCGAGTGGCAGCGTCTGCTTTTGTGGATGTATTGTTACGATTCCGCTTATTAAACTAATGGAAAGACGGACATTAGTAATTGTATGTAATATCGCAAGTAGCATTTGTCTCATCATAATTGCTGTAATTACTGAAGGCATCGGATCGATCATTACAGGCTGCTTAGGTATTCTCTTTAGCTTCATGGCCTTCATTGTTGAATATTTGTACTGTTTGGAAATGTTTCCGACATCAGTACGAAACAGTGCCATAGGAATATCATCAATGATGGCTAGACTGGGTTCCATGATAGCACCATTCGTTGCAAGCTTTCGCAATTATGGAAAATGGTGTGCTCCAGTTGCATTTGGCTTGCTCCCGATGATTGCGGCCTTTTTGTGCATATACTTGCCAGAGACCAAAGACATCGAATTACTTATGACAATAGAAGAAGGTGAAGCGTTACGGCATAAATCTTTTACACAGTTTCGAAAACGCGCAAGTTCTACACTAGAAAATACGAATTAATACATGATTTAAATGTCAAAAAGAACTATATTTCAAATAGTAAATATACTTTTAAGCAAAACTTTTCCGTTTTATGTTTTTGGTTTTTTGGATTATAGAAAACATTAAAGAATTTGTAGCAGAATTTGTACTAAATTCGTTTTTCTAAAGATATACTTAACATATTTATGATAAGTTACTCTAAATATAGCATTAGTTACGTAAAGCTAATGTAATGGAAGTCAGATCATAAGGGTTCTAATCTAGAGACAGTACTAGGGTTTCTTTAACCCCTAGTCAGTATAAGCCGGCCGTCATGGCGGCAGGCGTGTTCGTTTGTGGTGCATGGTATTATACCATCCTAGCTGGTGAGCAAAATTTTAGAAAACTTAATATTTACTTATTTTTTTATCCCATATCCTATTTTTGTAATGAGGTAATCAATGTTATGTGGCTTAAAGCTTTCTTAATAATTTATTGAATAGACTACTATTTATTGACTTTATGCTTATAAAAGGTGTGAAAATTATTAAATTTCTAATAAGTACAATATGTTTTATTTTATTTCTTCGTCTTTTTTGCTTGACTTATCGGATACTTGATTGATGGCTAAACTAATTTTTATATGATGACATTTCAGGTTTTTATATCCTTTACTGTCCTGTTATGTATTTAATGTTTATAAAACACTTACTATATAGAAAAGTTGTCGATGTGCTGTTTGCTTTATGGGAATTGTATCCTGTGGTAAAGTATTAACAATCATTGCAAATTCATTTGAAAATTATTATCATGTTTGTTCCATAGTATAAAATAAGCATCTGTGTTTAGGCATTATTTCAATGGCTCTGTAAGACGGAACTCCATCATTATGGTGATTATGTGAATCCCGATGAATCTACGATAATTGTAATGAACCATCGTACGAGAGTGGATTGGAATTATGTTTGGATAGCTTTGTATCATGCAACTCAAAAGCCTATTAGGAATATAGAGTGTATATGTAAAGAAAAAAGCCAAATCAACTTAATGGAAACTAAAGAAGACGTATTTGATGTTATGGCTAGAGGAATCTCTAAGATTAAATTCGTTTTAAAAGATGAAATTAAAGCTATACCTGGAATGGGTAAGTTATGTAACATCTACATTTATTTAATAAGTAATATAATTATTATGCACCACTTCACAATATTTAGTTATGATTCTACCAGAACGGGTATTTATTTATGTAACTATCGTTCAGGTACTTCAATTTACGTTAACGGTTAAGTTTCTTTGCATAAAACAGCATTTATGTCGCGTGTTTTTACTCTACCTATTATAAATAAATAGTCCCCTGAGAAGTGCCCTTCATTGCTTAAATTAATAACATTGTACTTAAGTTGAAAATCTTTTGACCTAATTAAAAATTTATGATTTACAGGCTGGATAATGCAATTGAATTATTTCCTTTACGTAAAGAGAAACTGGCAGGAAGATCAAGTTAACATGTCCCAGTTTGTGGACTATTACAAAAGGCTTCGATATCACCAGCGCATAGTGTTATTTCCTGAAGGCACTGATCTGAGCGAAGATAATAAGCGTCGCAGTGAAAAATTCGCTCTTTCGAAACAATTGCCGGTTAGTACATATATATAAAATTCATATTTCATGCTATTACTATTTCAATTTACTTCATGGTATGTAAAATTTACCTACATACTATTTAATTATGCTGAACATTACACAAACAACCATGAACTAAAACTCTCTATTTTTCATTGTATCAAATAGAAGATTGAACTAAATAAAACTTGTGACTTGCGGAAATTACAATTTTAATGTTATTTGACTTTATTATTACACAACTACTGTCGGATAAAGAATGAACGATAACTGAAATGCTCTTAGTATACCTATTAAAACAAACTAAATTGATTTAAACAGTTATTTTAGAAACAAGTTTTTTTTATTTATACATATAGTGTTTGCTGCCTCATAATTTTTTTTTACTGAAGGACTATATCATATCATTAGCTCTGCCTACATTAAGCGAATTATTAATGTTTAATTACCTTTTATAGCACATTTCGTGATAACACTGCCTTTAGTTAATCTAGAGATTACGTCTGAATGTTGACAGTAGTCTTTTAATTTCATGCGAGAGTTTAGATGGTCTCTGTACTGTCTGTACCTACAAAGAAAGCGAAATATACGATCACTATGTAATATTATAAATATCTCGCAAAGGATAACTTTCTAATATTTTTGTTACCTACGTGAAGATGAAGGGTTTTCTACCATGAAAAATAGTTACGAATAGACGACTAGTTATAATATAGTATATAATTATAAACATGATGTTCTCCTAGCCGATTCCGGCTACGGCGGCCAATCTCATTGAGATTAGCCAACTGCGCAGGAGATATTATAGTGCTCAAGTGTGCGCGCAGACACAAGTGCACTCTCTATACCTATCACTCTCATACTCCGGTGGGACGACCACTCGACACGACCAGTGAGAGTTAAGGCGCAGGACCGACGGCTTTACGTGCTCTCCGAGGCACGGGGGTGAAACACCGCCAACTTCCCAACTCCGGGCTGTTACTGAGACTTACTATATAGAAAGACTCAATAACTAAACTTGGCCCGACCCGGGACTCGAACCCAGGACCTGCGGGTGTGCAGCCGCACATGCTAGCCACTACACCACCGAGGCAGTTAATTTGCAATGCAGTTATTATAAACATACTTATATACATATGTATATGTAAATATAATTATATACATATTTATATAATTTATAAAAATATCATCTCCGGCAAGGTCTATTACATTTTTATATTTACTTGTAGTGGCCTAGAAGATTAAGATGTCCTTTCATAATTATTGCAATTTAGGTTATCATTAACTATCCTCTTTTTAATTGATAAACGTGTATTTTAATGTGTTAATTCCTTAAAACATTTTATGAATGCGTACGTGTAATGCAAGCTTAGCTGCGGAGGACATTTACCCTAAACTATTTTTTTAAATAAAATCCCGTGATTTCTATCAAAATTATTTTTGTGCTTCTTTTGGATCATCTCTTTACTATAACTTAATTGCTTTATTTAAATATTTGTTTTCAGAACTATGAGTTCGTTTTGCATCCCCGTACGACTGGTTGGGCAGTACTTTGCACTCGTTTAAGGAATAGTGGATTAGCCTCCGTTTACGACGTCACTATTGCGTATGACACTCCCGCTCAGACGGAAATGGACTTATTACACGGAAAAATGCCGAAACATGTGCATTTTTATTTTAAACGGTAATTTTTTATATCGTATTCATATCGAAGTTTGATGTGGTAAAGATAACGGCTCTCTCTTGCGTAATGGCGCCACAGGAAGATGAGTAAAACCTCGTATTCGGTTATAGGTATCGGTATATTTTGGTTATATACAATTCTCTTCAAATTTTCTTACACAGCCCAGTATACGGCAACAAAATATTTACGTGGAAGAATAAATATGAAATTATTTTCATACTTCTTCTGTCGCGAGAACGCGCTATGATGGCGAGTTCATCTGAAAGTGTGATTGTAAAAATATAAAATAACGAACCCAGATCTACGCTGCTTAGACAAGTCGCATTCTACATCGTTTAAGATTTTAGAAATCTAAAAATTTTATGGAAGCATTAGGCATAATTTATTTAGTTCTCTAAGAATCTAAGACGTTGGCAATCTCTACGTTCGTAATCTAAGCTTATGGAATGGCATTATGACTAAAGGTCAAAGGTTTAAGAATCGATGTGAGAGATCGTGGCAATTTTTTTCTGTAGGTATACATCTAACTTGGAAAGGAAGAAAAGTATAAAGGGTACATTGAAAATAAATTACGAAACTCAAACTTACTATGCAACAAGTATGTCATGTTAATGTATGAAATAATTAAAATAAATGCTCAATTATTAGGTACGTTATAACCATGGATGACAAATAAAAGTTATAACAATCCGATTTTGAATTCAAATATAATTGACAGTTAACACGGAAACTGAGCAGTACTAGGCAACTGGTTCTCTCGCCTTGACTTTATAATATATTACCTATTATTTTCGTTATATTGAAGCCTTGTAGAACAAATGCCTCTATAGTAAACTACGGTTGCATAAATATTTTTATGTGCATATAAAATAACAATGTATCTGTAAGTTTATTCGTGTACGTGAAATACATATTAAATAAAAAAATCTACAGTAATGAGAAGAAACCCGTTAGAATAATAGGTACATTTATTTTGTAGTTTTTGTTTCATTGTATTTTATTCTTTTGGTAAATAACGTTTCAATCAATGTAAAGAAATTAAAGAAACATATATATGTTAAATATAGTAAAAGTATTACTATACTAACCTTAAATCAATTAAGAATTTGAATGTCTATTTACTAATAGACATCCAAATTCTTAATTGATTTAAGAAAAAAAATAAAAAAAACTTTAATACAAATTTACTTCATCACTTTAATTTTATAGCTATGCCATTGAAGATTTGCCATTTGAAGAGGAAGAGTTGAGAATTTGGCTTCAAGATCGTTGGAAGGAAAAAAACATTAGTCTTGAGAGATTTCACAGAGAAGGTAAAGAAAGGAAGTACCCAAAAATACAAAAATAATTGTAATAAGTAAAAAATCAATAGACTTACTTTATTTTTAAATTAACATTATTATTTTTATTTTAATGATTGATTACATTTAAGGCATAAATAAACTAAGAATTTATGATACGTACGTATAGGGTATGTGTAATACATTTATTGATTAATTATCAAAAAATTGGTAAATATATTATAATGTAATCTGGATACATTGAAATATATTGGAATAAAAGTCGAAAATTGTTTCAGGTCATTTCATAGACTTCTCTTCGAAGAATGCCCCCCAAAAAAGAAAATCTCGGTCCCTCGCGGTTGCCAAATTAGCATTTATTTTTTGGACTTTTATAGACGTTATGTTCATTTATTGCTTGTATTTTAGCGTGTTGTTTAAATTTTGGGTCATCTATCACACTCTGTTGTTTGTATTCGTCACAAAATATTTTGGCGGATTTCAAAATATACAATACAGGATACTTAACAAAGTAAATATGTAAGAATAAACTAGCATTGTGATTTAAAAATTACCGTCAGATTGCTCCTATCTTTAAAGTAATCTAGTTCAGATTAAATAAATATAATATCATAAAAAATAATTTTATTTTAAGCCATTTACGGTTGTAAATATAAAGAAGTTAGAGTAATATGGTTTTACTCATTTATTAAAGTTTAAAAGAATTAGGCTAGCATGTACAATTGCAGATGTGCTATCCTGGGTTTGAGTCCCGGGTCGAATTTTAATTTTTGAGTAAAGTGTTGTTGAGGGGTGGTGTAGTGATCAGTTAAGGGTATCTATGGCTAATAAAGTAAGCACTTGCACACGAAATAGCTAAATTATATCGCTGAAAAATGATATTTGTAGCAAGTTAAATGTAAACATATTTTAGTAGGTACCTAATATATCCCCCCCAACGTGCGTTCACCTTGTCGTGGTGGGGGGGCTCAGTAGTAGTAGCGAAGCTAAGAAACGCACAGGGAGGTTGCCCACTTCGGTGGGCGATGGGAGGTGGCCCTCTTCGGGGGCCGGTGTACCTTGCGGGTTGCTCCTGGTACTTCTCTGATAGCAGAGTGGACCTTGGAGCAACCCCATGGTTGTGGTGGTCTGCTTTGGCAGACCTGCCGTCGGGGCGTCGTAGTTGAATGCTTAAGCGATCCTGCGACGCCCCATTAAGACGGGGGAAGGTTTTGTTGGGTTTTAGTGGGTAGTACTGGCTGTATTACGCCGGTGAGTCCCACACGTCGTGCGTAAATGCATTTCCCAACGTTAAAAAAAAAAAAAAGGTACCTAATAACCCGACTGCATAAAAGCTAACTAAAAAGATGGAAACAAGTTCACGAAGGAATAAAGTATTATGCAGTCGGAGACATACCTACACGTTTCATCCTTGCCGCAAGAGTGTGTACATATGTATGTGTATACATAAATACATACACAGACTGATAAAGACCCTCCTTTGCGTCGCGCAATCGGGTAAAAAAATCTAGTAATGTGATTAAATATCTAAAATCATGAAATACCTAAATTTAAATTGCTTTATTTAGATTCTGGAGCCGCATATCGAAATCATAACAGAAATATATCTGTATAAATGTTTTTTTAATAAATTGTGGCGTTAAAATCTAGTTCACAGCTTAACAATAGGATTTAACAGAAATATTCACCCAGTATTTAAAAAAGGTAATTAAAATAGTATTTTTTTTAACTATAGACCTATCAACGAATATAAGCAAAATAGTGAAGAAAAACATCTTTAATGCGAAGTAAGACGTTAGGTAAGAAAATAACAAGAAAATTTCTTTTCAGTTTTACGGTTAACGTAATTTTATTATGGTATTTGAGTATCAAATATATTTTCTTATGAGCCTTCGATACCTTAAATCATGATGTGGTCTATTACCACGGTAATATCATATAACATTACTGTGCTATTACTTAACTGGTACCATGACACGGTAATTGTATAACATTCCTGTAGCAATGATGACCTTAGCAATCGTATTAACAAAAAATCATTATTTCAACTTACAATAAATTATATATTTAGGAATAGCAAAAACGCTCTTTTGTGATTTGCAGTAAAAGAATATTTTCCATGCGCTATGTATTTTAATCAATAGTCAATAAGAATGTTTTGTTTTATAGGTATAGACTATTAACTGTAATGATGCAAAGCATTCAGCATCCGTATTTCCGTATTATTAATATTATAAATGTAAAAGTTTGTGAGTATGTATGGATGATTGTTACTCTTTCACGCCAGAACGGCTGAACGGATCTGGATGAAATTTTGCATAGAGATAGATTATAGTCTGGAATAATAAATAGGCTTCTTTTTATCCCGGAAAAATGTACGATAGGTTTATTTTGTTTTTCTAGAGGTGAACCGAGCGAAGCGAGGGTGAGCCGCTGGTAAATAATAAAATCAAGAAGTATTTAATACAATTTTAAATATAACAATATCATTTACGTTTTTTTATACATTTATTTCACTTAATAATTTAATGGTAAAAATATCTAGTACCTTCCGCTCTATTTGGATATATGTACATTGTACATATGTAACATTACCTGTACCTATAATATGTATTTTAAATAATAAATATCATTAATTTATTACTTTATGACTAGGTGAGATAAATGTATTTCATTCGTTTTAAAATAATACCCTGCCATTAATTTTTGCATTTTTTTTTAATTTTTGTAGCTATGTGCTAGCTTCTAGTTTTCCTATCATTACTTATTTCAGTTTGATCGATAGTATTCAAAAGTACTGTACCTTTTGTTTCCGGTAAGAAAAAGCAAAGACATCCAGCACAGAAAGCCAGAGAGCTAAATATTGAGATAGAGATCCACTCTACACCAATATTCACAATAAATGGTGCAATGAGACCACCAATTCTAGCAAAAACCGATGTAAATCCCATTGCAGAGTTTCGTATAACTGTTGGAAAAATTTCCGAGGAAAATAAGTATATTTGAACAAAAGATGTATATGCACCTGTAAGACCTACTATCATAAAAGTTAGCCCCAAGAGTCTCATGTCGCTCGGTAAAAATAGGAAAACTAGCAAAGATATCCCGGCAGTACCAAAACTAGTAATAACACTAATTTTTCGTCTCAAATACATAGAAGCAAAAACTACTATAATTAATCCCGGCACATGGCTCGCAGCTGACAGCATGACGTTAAGGTAAATGTTTCCTTGAAGTCGACCAATGTATTGGTTGACTCCAAAGAAAGTATTTGCACAACACATCCAAACCAATGCCATGATTATCGTGTATGTTCTAACTTTTGGAGTTTTAAAAAGATCTAAATAGCTGTAGGTTTTTTGTTTTCCATTTTGAACTTGTATTTCTTTCATTATATTATCCACTGTTGATCTAATATTTTCAGTTGGTAACTTATTTCTGTAAACAATAATACAATAAATTACACACTTTAACACCTATTTTAGCCAAAACCTTTTCTTTTTCAAGTATCACTACTAAATATTTTTTGGTAATATACCCTGGTTTTAAAATGAATCCATAAATTAATATCATGTATAATAAATACAATATCATAACTCGCGCACTATTTTCATGTTTTTTTTTTATCTTTTACCCAACGATCCTGTAAGTCTTGTAATTCTTTTCTCTATTATAATTTCTTATGAAATATATGACTTTATTTAACAGCAATGACCTTATATAAGGAAATTAGAGTAGTCATTTCAACAATCTTTACCATTTGAATGTCTCTCCCTAAGCTTATTATTCATTTTTTTGGTAAATCGGTTCAAATGATTCTAAGACAGAACAAAAACAAAAAACAAAAAAGCATACAGTCAGTTTTATAAAGAGCAGATTGAAAATATCATATTAACACACACATATTTTATTTAAGTTTATTTGATACTTACTTTTGAGCGATATTTGATAATATCTCAATAGCTTTTTCTTTATGTCCCATCGTTATAAGCCATCTAGGAGATTCAGGTATAAAGCAATAATAAAACATTACAAATATCCAAGGTATGGATGTTGCCATTTGCAATTCTCGCCAATCTCGTATAAAGTATGCAAATATCGGTAGTGTGAAGTAAGCCATAACGTAGCTTACCTCATTCAGACCAGCAAGATAGGGTCTAAACGATTTACCACAAAGTTCTACTAATATTACATAACAACAAAGCATTGAGCCTCCAGCCGCTGTTCCAATCAAAAACCGACATATTATGAACATCCACAGTTCTGGTACGAGAGCAGATAATGCTGTAAACACAACTTCTGCAAATAATGCGAGTAAACATGCCACTTGTCGGCCATACCTATGAAACAAATTAATTAATAATTAAGAATAAATATATTTTTAAATTATTTGTTTTTACGACTTTACACTCGAATGGTCTTATATTACTTAATTATTTATATTATTATAAAATTTTAATGAGATAAAAGTTATGTGGGATATAACAGAAGCCAAACAAACAATTTTGTAGTATTTTATCTTGTTATATGTCTATTAAATCACGCAATTTCTAAAAAGAATTGAATACAAATTTCAAAAGGCCTTCTTTGATTTTGAGAAAATAGTCAAATAGTTTTATTTCTACGACAGATTAGATTTAAAGAACATTGTTTGAGCGTGGTTTTTATTTAGTAGTGTGGTGGACTAAATTGAAAAAAATATATCTGGAGGGAGCCGCTTATTAATATTACATTAAATTATTAAATTTAAAAATTATCATGATAGACTATACTTTTAATTCTACAGGCTGGTAGGTAAATAAATATATCAATTTCAATAAACTTTAACTTACCTATCAGATATATGACCAAATACTAAACTGCCAGCTAAAATTCCAACTTGTAAAAGAGATTGTGTCAAACTTGCTAGGTAACTTCGTTCACATATTAAATTCCACTCACTAGTCACAGAATTTTCAATTGAACTAACATCATAACTGGGATTTTGACAGGGACAGTGATTGGTCAAATTATAGGCGTCTCCATCCATACAAACATAATCAACATTTGGTAAAATAAACACTACGTTTGATATTTGGTATTCGGTGGGAAACCTTCCAATAAGTATTAAAAACATAATCCAAGTTTGGTATTTACCAGACCGGCCTATGATGCTTTCAATTGCATCTACAGCTGACGACATATTCGAACTGAAATAAGGAAACTTTTAATTTTTGTCTTTAAATGCACTCAATATCAATATTTTTTTCAAACTGAACATTTCGTAAAAGAAAACACCATTTGAGACGAAATGAAGCATAATTAAAATACTTACAATTAATTTAGAGAACCACTTCTGTGATATTTATTGGAAGTAATAAATGTAATGGATTTAGATGGTAAAGTTTTTCTGTATTGATTATTTTCAGTTAAGATCTTATCTCCAAGAAACGAGCACAATTGTGAGCCAAGTTCCTATATTTTTTATAAATCGGAATATTTTAAATGGTATATTTCTCAAAAACACCGGTTTCTTTAAAAATATTTCTCTAAATGTCATTTTTACTCTAATTTCAGTTAATTTTATATAATTTATAATTTCTGCTCTTTTGTTGCATTTTTATCCAACTTTAAGTCCCTTTCCTATATGATTTGCTAGTTTTTCTAAATACTCATTAAATTAATATCAACTCACAGATGCCGATGCAGATGCAGACATTTCTGTTGCCGCTATAACAACAAATACTAAAAAACAGAATAAAATAAATATTTAAGGGGGCTCCCATATAACAAATGTGATTTTTTTTGCTCGTTTTTGCTCGATATTGATAACGGCAACAGATAGACGCTTGAAATATTCACAGATTATTTAGTTATATATTCAATTTAAAAAGAAATAATTAAATTAAAATAAATTTTTAAGTAAGTCCCATACACAGACATGATTTTTTTGGCGTTTTTATAGATAATCGTACGGAACCCTTCGTGTACGAGTCCAACTCGCACTTGGCTGGGTTTTTTTAAATAATGTGCATAGACATCTGATTAAAATTATTTTATCCATCTAATATATATACAATAATTTAGCAGCTTAATAGTGACAAGCAGACAGCCAGACCCGGTCTTGAAAATTTTTACCTAAAACGATTTTTAATTTTATCTTAGTATCTATCAAGACGTTTTCACTTTAGTTATCCGGATCAACTTATCTATCTCTCTTCTGTTTATCAAGTTATGGTGATGATATTCTTATTGTGATATAATATTATTAATTTTACCCGCAGCGTTGCTCGCGTGGCAGCGCTCTAAGTTGATAAAAAGTCTAGGTTTCAATGTAGGATATACATACAATATACATATATTCGTGTATAAGAAAATATTAAGGATATTTCAGTCAATCTTTTTTTCATTGAGCTGTAACTTACACAGTAAAAAAGTGTAAACTACAAACACATAGACACTAACTAAAAAAAGTTTCGCATTTATAATATAAGAGGATATACATTTAAGTATCGTATCTAGCGATTGGTTTGGCTTATATATATTTCATTATATCGGATGCAGATTAGGAACTCATTGATTCGAATAACAATTCGGTCTAAGAGTGTTATGTGGCTTATCTTTCAAGATAGTCATGGTAGTAGATTCTCAGTAGCAGTCGGAGTAAACTGGGATCAAAATCGTCGGGATTGGAAGGTACTTGTAATTTCTTGCCTCAAAAATAAGTGAACAATAGTTTTGTGCTTTTTGAACTAATGAGGATCCTGCGATATAAATTCTCTTCGGTCATATTATCTTACAATAACTAGAGTGTGAGAATAACACCTGGATTTCGATATAAGATTGTGCTAAAAAATAATTTAATAATTTGCTAAAAAATAAATTAATAATGTGTGATAAAAAATAATTGGTTTGACCGGATATACTGTCTGTCAATCAGAAAACGTTTGTAAGAAATACTTAGAACGATATTTTCGAAAAGGGTGATGTAGGATAATTTTTATGTTTCATCTTAGTAAATAAAATAGTTTTCCTGAATATAATGAATTAGTTAAAAATATCTTTTCTTCCCCTTGACCTAGTTAACCCTACTTGATTAATATAAAATATATAAGCGTAACTAATCCGTTTATTTTGAAAATTATCCCAAATCTTAAGAGATGACTAGAGTTGAATGAAAAAACTGCGTTTGCTGATATAATATTACATGTACATATATATGTCAGAGGAGAAATCAATAGAAATGAATTATAATTTGATGTAAAAACTTATTATTGTTTAAAGTCAGTATTTTATGTTTCGTCAAGTTACGAGCGGCGTCGAGGCGCCATCATGACATTTGTTGGAGATATGTGGCTTATGCGGTTGATCGTAGAGGATCATTGGAGTGTTGTGTATTGAATTCAGATCGGTGTTGAGAAGTCGCTGTTCAATTATACTATTAGAATTATCGTTTCAAGATTATAACATTGTGATTTCCCTTATTAAGAGTGATTAATTTATTTTGTCTGCATTGAGCCCTGATAACGCCCACAATCAGTTTATAACTATACTCTTTGCCCACAATATTCGTAACCACTAACAATGACGTTGAGAATATGGACACTACGATATATATTAATCTATAGATATGCTATTTAAATAAAAAAAGAAGTTTTAACAAATATTAAATAAATATTTTATTAATACAATCTCATTAAAACTAATTATCACAGCCTATTGGATAGACTTTACAACATTATGGTATATAATTTCCAAAGTATTATTTGTAAATATGCTTTTTATATTTTACAATATTTTGCTCTTAGAAATATGTAGTTTGATATGTATTTTAAAAACTTACATTTAAAAATCTAGGAAATTCTTTGAATTCAATAGCGACTATAATTCATATCCTTCGTAGTATTTGATTGAGACAATATATATACATAACTTTTGATATCAAATGTACATTTTGTTGAATGTTACAGTATATAAATACGTACAGGACTTACGTACAGATGTTCAAAATACTCTTATGGTAATATAATTAAAGAGCTGGTGATGCACATAAAAACCATTACTCTTTCTTTTCTTTTTCTTCTCTTTCAATTACCGCCACCACATCGTCCCTTAAAACATCCTTTTAATTTCGATCTAATAAGGATACGAATTTAGTCTCTGGCAGTAAAAACTAGCTTTATTACTTATAATATTTTTTTCTCTAAGTAACTCAGTAGAAGTTAATAGGTAACAAAGTAAAAAAAAATGTTTTTACCTATTAAATATATCGTAGCAACTTAGTTTGTATTCCTTTATAATATAAATTGTCCATATAATACCAGGCAGGCATTTCAAAAACACGATTTAACTTAGTAGTAAATTTTTGTGCGACTTAATATAAATTGATTGAAAATATAAATCAAGATCATATAAATGATATTACTGTCACTATTCCTCACTAGACACTAAAATATGTAAAGTACCATCTCCATTTAGTCAATGGTTTATATAATTATCTGCATAGCTGTAAAACTAAAGGAAACATCTTAATATAATAATTGTACTTCAAATGACTAGAAATACAATTGTTATGCCTCCTCACCCTCTTCTAATGTGTCGGGTAATTTCTTTCCTCTTGTATCGGGTAATATTATACAAAGACCCGCTCCAATAAGGGGAACAATACCAAAGGCCAAAGGTGGTAACCAGGCGCTCGTATGAGCGAGAGTAGCTACAAACGGAGCCAACATGGAACCAATTCTAGCAACCGTAGAAGAAAGTCCTACACCAGAATTTCTTACAACTGTAGGAAATAGCTCTCCCGCGTACAAGTACACTGTTGCAAACGAAATACTCATGCCCCATAAGCCGGCGCAACCTAGAGTTAAATGGCTGGCAGTAGATTGTGGAATCACGATGATAAGCAGGCAACTGAGACCAGTAACGCAGTTGGAGCCGATGAGTGTGATTTTACGACCAAGTGCTTTGTTTGTGTATATCGAGATTAAAGTTCCTGGTATCTGAAAAAAGTAATATGTAACTTAGTGGGTAAGCAATTAAGTAGGCTCGTCGTAGTAATTTTGTCGTTCTTATGTAATAGCACGAGTATAACTGATTTCGGCCACAGCCATCAATCGCATTGAGAAGTGAGGCTGACAGTACACAAGTGGGTACACGAACCAGTGCGATTTCTATTGATTTCATTTTCATAATCTGGCGGGACGATAATTTGTCTGGTGAAAAATCAGGCGCAGACACTCTGGCCTGCTATTGAGAATTTCTTGACAGAAAATCCCAACAACCATATTTGACCCGCCCCGGGACTTGAACTCAGGAACGGGGAACTCTGGATCTGAAGTCATCCATGCTAATCACTCGACAACGTCTTAGTCAATTCGTTGTCATACATTGAATTATTCATGTGTATGTATTCAGCCCTTTTTAACGTCCCACTGCTGGGCATGGGCCTCCCTTTTTGTATGGAGGGGGAGGGAGGAGGAGGGGATCAGGTTTTGCTAGGTCAGACATGCAGGTTTCTTCTTGATGTTTTCCTTTACCATAAGACAAGTGGTAATCATGTTGGAAATGATTCGCACATGAAAATATTAGAGGTGGAAACTCGGGATTTGAACCCGCTTCATTCGGTTTCTCAAGCGAGCGCGTTACCACTGGGCTACCACTGCCTCGTTTTTGATTGTTTATGAATAATTGATTATGAATCATTAAGAATTAAAAAATACTTACCAATATTGAGGCAGATATAGCGACGTTAGAAAATATGTTTCCAGACACATGACCGATGTACTGAGAGACTCCAAAAAAGCAAAAGCCGCAAACGAACCAATTAAAGCATATGGCGATTGTTCGAGCACGCAAACGTGGGGTTTTAAAGAGCGCAAAGAAAGACACACTTTCATGTGTACTGTGTACTTCCGCTGCCAATTTTTGGATAGATGAGTCTATATTTTCTGTTGGTCGACCATTCCTATAAGAAATATTAATTATTATTTATACTTAGTTTATGAAACGTTACTGTACTGGACTACTGCAAAGGATATTTAATGAAGATCATTTCAGATTTAAAAATGTTGGCAAAGATTTTATATTTAAGTTTAAAAAAATTTTTAACAGTTTCTACATTTATATCTAGTAACCAAGCGATAGGCAGAGTGACAAAATTTAAAAAGCCTGTCGATTGAGCTTTTACAGTAACCTTAACACGATTTTAATTAAGCATATGGATTTATTACATAGCAAACGAATTTACATAAAACACCCATTATACCAAGGTCATTTTTGAATATAACTGACACACACAATTATTAAATTATCATTACTATTAATAATTGTAAATTATATTAATTACCTTTTAGCTGCTGTTTTCAATATTTTTAACGCATCGTCAGCTCTACCAGCTGTCATAAGCCATCTCGGCGATTCAGGAAGTAAGAAGTAGTAACTTAAAAACAAAATTGATGGCAGAGAGATAGCCAATTGAAACGTGCTCCAATTGCGTAAATAATAGCCGAATAGAGGCAAAGTTAGATGACCAATGTTAAATGGTATTTGGTAAAGGATCCCAACAGTGTCTCTGTACTTCGTTCCTATGAGTTCCATTATCAGTACGAAGCTTGTCACCATAGTGCCTCCAGTAGCGACGGCCAAGAGGAACCGGAGTGTAGTGAACATGTACCAATTAACAGAGTATGCTGTAGCCACTCCAGCTATTAGTTGGAGAATGACTGCTGCTACAAAAGGTAGCTTGCGTCCGAATCTAAAATAATATAGAATATTTTATTAACTACATAATTTTTTGCTATGAATATTCTTTAACATTTAAAACCCGAAGGTAGCATGTATCGCAATTTGTGACTGAAGCAATAACATTTCGACGCCCCTTTTTGAAGAGACATTTGTTAGGAACTGTGCGTCCAGTTTTATCTAGCAAATGATATACACAAATATAAATAAATAAAACAAGTTTTCATTTGTTCATGTTTCTTAACAGAATTATGTGAGCTGATTGAATATTAAGGGTAATATTAAATATATTTGCTTATACACGCGTCATGACGATAAATTGTATAGGTATTATATGTATATGTTTTAATGGCTTTCACATCTACTTAAAGTATCTAAACATAGTTATTTGTTAATTAAATAATTAAGCTTTGTAGTGGCAATTAACTTTTAAATCTGTGTCGGATAGGTACATCCTTTCTGTTATTACAGTTAGTACATTATTTAACTTTAATTAAAAGATTTACATGTCTACTATTGGTTTTTGTATATATTGTATAAATTATATACATAGTATGAAATGTTATAAATTATAATTTTTTATACTAGTCACGTCACAGATCACGTCACACATAACTATATCTCCTTGCACCAAATTAATATATTCAAAGATTTAAATTTGTAGATACATACAACATCGAAACTTTGTCATAATATCATGATAATTCACTTGTGTTCGTCGTCCGTTTTGTCATACTTTGTACATTTATAATTGCCTAATATTTGTAAAAGACTTATGTACAGTCTTGACATTGTTTGAACAAATCTTTTGCGATACACATATTTGTTTATATTTTATGCGTTATAGTTTTCAACCAGTAAGAAGATAGGTGAAGGACGATCTTATGTCGGATCGTGGACTATTATTTCAAAGTAGAGAGAGGATTTCAATTGGGACTATTAAGTGACATTTGCTAAAGTACTATCATCCGGGTCCTCCAGCGTGCAGCGTGATTTCGACTTACGAGATTATCCCGGATGCACCAATTCAGTTAAGATGGCCTCTAGAGAATAAATATGTCCTCTCTTTATAAATTCATTTAGAAACTATTGGTTTTTAAAGAGTTTATTATTCGTTTGATACTACTAAAGTTTACTAATTTAGACTTTAACAATCATCTTAATTTTAACCGCAATTTCTATCCGATTCAATTTCTGATTAATGTAAAATATCTGGTTTATTTTAGATAGAATTAAAATAATACTCACTAATAAATATTACAAAACAAATAGACATATTGATAGTTATTATATGTCATATAGTTATTATAGTTGTTATTTAAGTTATAATATTTTATATTAGTACCTAATATTGAGTAACAATACTCCTCAATTTGTATTAACTTTTTCATATATATAGAGCACTTTATTTGAAACTAAACCTAACGGAAAGAAACGTTTGTTTGGTCAATTAAAATATTTATAGTGAATATTAAGTATTACCTTACTTACAGTTTCGGCGTGCATTGTATCAAGACTTACAGCAGTATCAAACATGTATACAACATAAAACGTTTTGCTACATATTTCTATCTGTTAAGTATTATAACACACACAAACCTGTCTGAAAGGTGTCCGAAAGCCATATTCCCCACAAGGATGCCAAGCATAAAGATTGTTTGAGTAAGATTTTTGAGCCATTCTCTATCACATATGAGATTCCACTGCGACACGATTGTTTCGCCAAAAACGCTATGGTCATATTTATATTTAGTACAGTTTGACAAGCATTGGTTTCTAATCCATTCCTCATCATCAGCGCAAGAAAATTCCATGGGAGGTGCAAGAAATATTATGCTCATCTGATGCCAGGCCACTGGGAATTTTACGAGAAACACCACAAAGCATATCCATATTTGCCACTTTCCTATAGCTCCTATGGCTTTAGTCATGGGATCATCATCCTTGTTGCTCTCGACATTTTTCGCTTCGTTCTCCAACACTGTAATTAAAAAAATGTTATGATTATAATTTATGTTTATTACTTTTTAAATAAAAAATAATAATACAGAGTTCTTCCACATAGACATACCTATAAGTGCATCCACGGTAGACATGAGTTTTTGTGTGGTAAAAAGGTAGGGTACGTTATGAGCCTATAATAGGTGACATAGGCTGTTACATATTTAGGTGAATGTTTTCAGTAGGTATACCAGAAATATTGGAATGGTAGCAGTCAGAACATATGTGATACGAACAAACGTATCTTAAGCATTTTTCGTAGTATAGTTTGTTTAATTTCATTCATAAAAATATAAATGATGCAATAAACTAAATTATTTTATATCTGGACCGTTTTTTGCGATCACTTCCTCTTATATGATGTTCTCCTGACCGATTCCGGCCACGGCGGCCAATCTCATTGAGACTAGCCATCTGCGCAGGAGATATTATAGTGCACAAGTGTACACGCAGACACAAGTGCAATCTTTGTTCCTGTCACCCTTATACTCCGGTGGGACGGCCACTCGACACGACCAGTGAGAGTTAAGGCGCAGGACTTTACGTGCTCTCCGAGGCACAGGGGTGAACTTCCCAACTCCGGGCTGTTACTGAGACTTATTATACAGAAAGACCCAATAACTAAACTTGGCCCGACCGGGGACTCGAACTTAGGACCTCTGAGTGTGCAGCCGTACATGCTAGCCACTACACCACCGAGGCAGTTAATCCTCATACATAATAGCTACATAATAGATATGTATGTAAAATTAATATTAGCAACTTAAAAAAAAATTTGTCGACATACCTACCCTATATTTTTTACTAGCATTGCCTGCGGCTCCGCCCGCGTTCATATGACCAAAAAGCAAATTCTTAAGTTTTACATATTAGTATGGTCTTACAATGAAATTTTTGTATTTTTCTCAGAAATGAGATATTTTCGCGCGGTAAAGAGTATCCTAAATGTTGATCCGGATAACCATCTATCGCCATACCAAATTTCATAAAAATTCCTCCAGTGGTTTTCCTGTGATGCGGTAACAGACAGATAGACAAAAATTCTAAAAACTATAGATTCGGCCTCTGTATCGATAATAATGTCTATTTCAATAAGATTTTCCAAAAAATATTTAATGTACAGATTCGGCTTATTTACAATTTTAGTATATGTATAGATTTAAAAATATATTAGGTATATGAAAAATATCGTGACGAATATTTTTTTATTTAAGTTATCTTCTTCTTAATTAAAAAAAAAATTCTTTTCTTAATTAATCAATATTTTTTTATTATTTTTTAGCACTCACCTAGTCTATCCTGAGCACTAAACTCTTGTTCCTCGGGACTAGACATAGCGAATTAATTAATGGATTAGTTTATGTTACATTTAAAACATATATGTAGCTGTTAACTAATATTTTTAAAAGGTAGGACACTAAAGCGGACTCTACACAGCTCAGCTGTTGGCAATCGAATGATAGTAGTTACTAAAGTCTTTGAACGCAAGCGGCAGTGAAAAAATCGCGGATACATATGTTTAATAACAAAACATGTATTTAGTTATTAATTAAGAGATCGTAAGAAAATTAATGTTTTTGTTACTAATGACTTCCTATTTGCAAATATAAGTCAATTATATTAGCAAATATTACTTTTAATATACATAACAAGTAATAATAAAATACTAATGGTTGATAATTTGTTTAGATTTTGCCATTATTTGAATGATAAAATTTGATTCATAGATAATATCGATACAAAAGTACAAAGAACACGAACTTAGATCACAAAGGTCAATCATGTTTGCAATACAATAAACAAAGAATATCGTAGAGATGTTTACAAAATATCGTCTCCTTTCAGGCGGTAAAAACGGGATTGAAGAGGAAAATTTAACACACAATATGTGCATTGTGCAATATGTTCTCTAGAAAATACTTCTTATCCATTCAGTTATTTAGTGTAGCAGGAGATAAATCTAACCTTTCCGCTCTTTCTCTTACTTGACAGACATAAATCTCACTTTATTTTTGATGTTTAAATATTATTACTAAAATTTGTATTGGGTCGCGTTTCACGTCATGGTTTGTGTCAGTCTGGCCGCAACAAATACTTATAAAAATAGCTAAATCGTAAAGTTAAACGCAGAGTCGCCTGCGAAAAAAATTATACTCCGACTATGAAAATGAAGTGCTAAGACGTCACAGCTTTACATCTGTTACTAATATTAAAAACGCGATGGTTAATACATATATTAATTTGTTGAATTATTGATTTTTATCGCATACGCAGTAACGTAGACTTATTACATACTCATACATATGTAGACTTTATATGTTTCATAGAGTTAGCTCAAACTATATTTATGGCTTCTGTGCGATGTGTGTTCACTTGTCATGGTGTTGGTAGGGGGAACAACCCTTTAGTTGTTGTGTTTGCTTTGGCATCATAGAGTCGTGGTTGAGTTCGTGAGCGATCCTGCGACGCCCCATTAAGACAGGGAGGTTCCGTTGGGTTTTAGTTGATAGTACCTACTAGGTAGAAAGCCTAGCCGACAAGCCCACATGATTATATTTAATACCTATACTTAAATGCATTTCCCAACTTTAAAAAAGGGCTATATTTTAGGCTCAAGCGAGGCGGAACGATTTGTTAGCGTGATAAATAGTTATTATTTATAATATTTCTAGTTTATTTATTATGTAATAAAACCTAATGATGTATAAAAATATCTAATCATTTAACATTAATATTTATTAGTACATTATTTTGGCTAGAATGTCAACTTAATTTAACAGCTTTAATATCAAGGAAATAAAAGTTGATCTTTGCTCTCAAACATATATCATGAACGATTTTTCACACTATTTGATATAATATGACCTTTTAGCTCGCGATAGCAAACACGGGGTATCATTTTGAAACATTACCATCTTAGTCTGCGCGACGCGCCGAAGTCTTTGTGTTCTTATCTCGACGAGACTAGCGTCTCTGTCGCTGTAATCAACTACAATATGGAAAATAGCCGATTCGCCCTTAGTTAATAAAGACCTATATTCATTTTTTGTTACTATTTCATTTATAGTATCAGGATAAAAAGTAACCTCTACTATAATTTGACCTATAAAATATACCTACATACAGTTATAAGTAATAAAGCATGTTAATCTGTTATTCTGTCGTTGCGTGAAAGGACAAACACTGATTGACTTTTGACTGGGCGAAATGTTCGTGACCTGAATAAATATTTTTATACTTAAAATGATTTAAATTTTTGTACTCGCTGCGAGTCTTGCAGCTTGCTCCATGTACGTCTCCGGCTGTCTACATAATACTTGTTACATTCTATCTTACTAGTGCACACTTCATGTAGTCGAGTTTTTGTTTTTGTAGTTTAATTTTTTATTCAGAGCTTTTTAGTTTTGGCCAATTAGACAATTTGAATTTCTTTCAATAACTAGCGACTTCGAGGGTGAGTATTCGTTCAAGTAGGTTCCTAGGTGTCTAACAGTAGCTTATGTGTTATTATAGGTTATAGTTTATCTGTGTACTAAATTTCATCGTAATCTTACCAGCATTTCAGCGTGAACAAGTAACAAACATACATTGTAGATCGATTTGTGATGCCAAATTGTTGTTATTGTTCTATATATACTCGTATTTGATATCGCCTCTTAAAACCCTTTATTTTAAAACTCCACTATATAGATTTGAAAAAAAAATCAAGTTGACCTAATTTTGCAAAAGATTTTTAATTGATAAGTTTTATCCGGTGACACTCATGTTATCAAGACAAATCTAACGACGTATAAATTATCAAAACTAGTTAAACTGTTCTGTAATTACGAGGGAACATGTTTTTTTTAATTGAAAGGTTCAATAACCTTAATATATATATTTAAATACCTCAATATATTCAATTTTCTGTTTATGGACCTGAAGCTTAATCGATTATGTGCTAAGATTTAAGAAACAAAAAAAAAGAAGATTTACATTATATATGATCTAATAGATACAGAGCTTAAAGCTCAGTGAAAACAAACTTTCAAGCCAATTAACCAAACAAATTAACTAAACAAATACACAAATACGCAAGTATTTATATTGTTGGTAAGTATGAAATTACTGTGCGTAAATGTGTAAACGTCTTCTAACGTGAGTACTAAACTCGTTTTTGTTTCAGTCTTTAAAATACATACAAGCAAAAATTAGACTTATTTTAATAAGTAGATATTATACCATCTAAATTGCGCCGCTTATTCCGCTAAAGGTCGTAGGTTTGATCGTAATGAACGTTTGCATTGACCTTACAGATGGTTAGTCCCTCACTGAGATGTCACTGCTTCTTGTCTAACCTTTATAATAAATATGGTACAAATGTTTCAAGATGTTATTGTTAATAGCTATATTGTGTAAATATTATTGTAACTAGTGACTCACCCTCGCTTTGCTCGGGTTCGTCCCTAGATACGTTTTAAATTAAAATGGATATATTATGTTATCCTTAAGAGATAGAAATATGCCATCTCGGAATTTTCTGTAGACCTATATAAGATCACGATTCCACCATACATTTTTCCGACACCTCCTAAAAACAACGTTATATTTTAGCCAATATATACAAAAACTTAACAAATTATATACTAAAAACTTCCTCTTGAATCACTCTATTAAGAAAACCGCATCAAAATCCGTTGCGTAGTTTTAAAAATCTAAGCATACATAAAGACAGACAGACAGCGGGAAGTGACTTTGTTTTATACTATGTAGTAATTATGAACGTGTAAGAAAGAAATATTCATAATGTGACCATGATCTATGAAATGTTTATGCGTATATTCATATTTTTTCATATAGTTAAAACTTGAAACCCAATCTTAGTTGCGCTTATGACGTTAGAGGAAAAAATTCTATCAAAAACTATATATTACAAAAAACTTAAATTGTATATGTAAGGTAGCGGTAGAGTAATGGTGACGCGCTCGTTTGGGAAACCGAGTGAAGCGGGTTCAAATCCTCGGTCTCGCACCTATGGTATTTTCATGTGCGTATGATTTCCAACAATATTACCTCTTGTCTTACGGTAAAGGAAAACATTCTGTGGAAATTTGCATATCTGAGAGAACCTATCAAGTTCGACAGACATGTGAAGCCAACCCGCTCTTGGCCATCGCGGTGGACTATAACATAACATGATCCCCCCCATGTAGCAAAGTTAGGCCGTGGGGCCGTGCCTAGTAGTAGGAAGTTAAAAATGGCTGAACAAAATAAAAGATATCAGATTTAAAGTTCTAACAAATGATAGAATATATTAATAAATAATAATAATAAATAAATATGTTGGGACATTAACACACATCACCATCTAGTTCCATGGTAAACTACGAGGCTTGTGTTATGGATAGTGGATACCAGATAGTTGAGACACTACACATATATAACTTTAAATACATATATATTATAAATACACCATGACTGGAGTACACACATTTGTGCTCATCACACATCAAATGAATGCCTCCAGCGAGTCTCGAATAAGCGACTGCTGGCACAGCAAGTAGGATTAGTGACCCTGAGCAACCTGAGCCAAACGTGTCGTCAAAATTAATATGATTTCTATTAAGTTAGTATATTCCATATATACTAACTTAATAGAAATCATATCCTATATATAATCAATCTTGTATCATTTGAGAATGTATTAAAATTGATCACGGCTAGACCCGTTCAGTTCCCCTATCGAGCAATACCTCTTTAGTACCATATCCTGTATATGTACACACCTCTTGTTTAGTTACGAGTGTGTGTATATACTGTTCGTAATTTATATACAAAATTAGTTTCGTCTGGTCCATTGAATACTGAATATTAATTTTATGAATTCTTCTTGACTTCTATGAATGGTTTTAATTAATTAACAGGTTTTAGTATTATTTCGCTATGCAAAACATAAATAATATAATAAAACTAGCGACTCACCCTCGCTCCGCTCGGGTTCGTCCCCGGGGTGGGGTCTGGGAGGACCACCCTTATCCTTATCACTTAGGGGTATGAAAAATAGATAGTAGCCGATTCTCAGACCTACTGAATACGCATATAAAATTTGGTAAAAATCGGTAAGCCGTTTCGGAGGAGTACGGTAACAAACATTGTGACATGGAAATTTTATATATAAGATGTACCTAATCACCAAGCGAGGGATCACGCAGTAGCTTGTGTGCAATAAAAATCTATACACTATAAGTGTTTTTGTGAGTTCTTCTATGCATAAATAGAAAAAGTTACTTTATGTTAGTAAATAACTGACAACAAAGATTAGTGGTAACAATAACATTGCAAGTATAAATATTTAT